AGGTGCGTCTCTCACTCACTGCATCTTAATCAGTTTCATTTAGGTAGAGGAAGGGAGGGGGGGGGTGAGTCCTTTGTGAGTCAGACAGACTGCATCCTGTGCCAGGGTTGCCCAAGAATACAGAGCTGAGACGTAACACAGGTGTCTCCTCCCTCCCAGAGCCCCCCAAGACACAGGTGAGGGACAGGCCTTCATCTCAGGATGGACTCACCACCCTGTCCTGCTGGGTCCATTGCTTCTACCCCAAGGAGGTGGCTGTCATCTGGCTGAAGAATGGGGAGGTGCAGCCCCAGGAGATGAGCCACTCGGGGGTCATTCCCAGTGGAGATGGGACCTACCAGACCTGGGCCACCATCAAGATTAACCCCAGTAGCAACCACGATTACACCTGCAGCATGGAGCACGTGAGCCTGGGTGAAGACCTGCAAGCAGCCCGGGATAAGAGAATGATGCGTGAGTGACCCCCACATGGGCAGGGAGGAGACCCCCAGGCACTAATGGAGGGAAAGGCTGACTGACCCCTGTAAGTGGAGGAGTGGGGAGTGAGGGTCTCGGCTGTCTGTGCCTGGGTTGTCTGCTGCCCTCAATACGGTGGAAGGGAAAGGACCTATAGCAATGGCAGGGATGGGCTGGGGAGCAGTTATCCCAGAACTAGCGCTGTTGGCTGCAGCCCTGGCTGTTGCTCTCCTCTTGCCACTCTGCTATTTTGCCCAAGCTGGTGCTATATGGAGCTACTCTGTGACCAGTGCCCTGTAAGTAGGGAGCCCCCCGCATTCTTGTGGCAAGGCATGGACCCGGTTGTAGGGCTGTGCAACCATTCCAGTTTCAGAATTAAAAATCACTGTGAACCCCTTGAGTCTTAAAGCCCCTGCTTCAGCTCCCCCCTCAATCAGAGCCATGGAAACCGTTCAGGGGTGCCACACAAGATTAGCACTGTTCACTGTGCAAATATGATTCCCAGGAGAGATCCAGGGGTTTCAAGGAGGAATCCAGAGGGTTAAACCGGTCTGATCGGCTGCGTTCTTTCTGAGTTCCTTGCATTGTTGTTTTCAAAGTTAAAAATTGAGTGACAATTAAGAACTGGCCTTATGTGAGGGGGGCCTTGAGTCATTGGAGGGTGCCTGAGTCCTCCAAAGATTGAGACCCATTGGTCTCAAGGGGCCAGTTGAAAACAAGGGCCTTTGGTGGCTGTTTTGTGCTCCTGGGATTGCCAGCAGCTTGAGCCATGCCATGTGGCCAGTCCTGGACAGCTGTGTTCCCCACCCACAGGGCTGTTTCTGCAGGAGTGTGGCAGGGGCCGGGACCCTGTCCCTGCCACAGGATCCCTTTGGAGCCTGAAGGAAGGCACCGTGTGGGCAGTCACTTGTGTTTCTCCTAGAACCACCGGCCTTGCCTGAAACCCACAGCTGTGCTGCCCGGAGCAGCTGTAGCCAGGACCCGGGCCTGACTCCAGCTGTTCTTGTGCGCCTGCCAGCATCCAGGTCCCAAGGTTGCCACAGGAGTGCCCAGTCTGTATAACCCTGGGTTTCTCCAACAAACTGGGGCCAGAGCGGCAGGTAGGAGCTGTCCCTGAGGGAGCTTGCTGGTGGCGGGCAGAGGTCAGAGCCAAGGTAGGCAGGGCATGGGGGTGTCCCCATGTGACCTCCAGGAAGCTGCTTGCTTGAACCCTGCACTGGCGTGACACCGAGTAACATGGGTCAGTTTTGCCTGCAGAGAGCAGCACAGAGCATGATACAGCAGCACACGTCACTTTTGCCCGCTGAGTGAAGCCCACCTGAAAACCAGTGTCTCAGTGCATCATAAGTGTGGGGCTGGGGCCAGGGCAGGAAGGGCTGTGTGAGGCCCCAGGGCTCGGGGGTTTTTTGTTTTGTTTTGTATATGTTTAAGGAAAATATATATACACACACTTTCCTTTTCTTCACCAGCCATGTCTTGGGTCCAGTCCCGTTCACATACTTTAACAGCCATGTCTTGGGTCCAGTCCCGTTCACATGACAGTCTGTATCACACACATACCATTACACCATGGATCCCTGTTACAATGACTGCACCCGTGCCCTCATGCACCCCTCACCATCTCTTTTCCCTGTTACATTCACGCCAAACCACCTCCAATCCCTCTACATCCCCTTCCCCTTCCCACCCAGTCTGTTCTCCTCTCCAGTACTTATCCTTCATCTGCATCATCTTTGTCTTCCTCTTCTTGTCCCTGTCATTGTTGTTGCTTAGCCCTTCATCATCGCTATCCTCATCATCTTCCTCATCATAGTCATTGTCCTCTCTGGGGGTCTTGTTCCTGACTAATCTGTGCCCATGTCTTCTCTTCCATACTACCATACCATACTTCCATACTATCTCCTCCCTGATGTCTTCTTCCAACTTCCTGTAGTATCCCTGCATCTCACTCAGTCCCATTTTGACACAGCCTTCAGTTTGCACTGCATTTCCCTGAAGCCACATGGGTTTGGGCCAAGCCGCCCTCTGGGGAGACCTGGCCTGGTATATCCCTGCCCCTCTCCCTGCTGCCCCCAGCAGTGGGAGGCTACCACAGGGGCTACCACTGGTGAGGACCAGGGCAATTAGTGCAGCAGTTAGGTCTGTCCCTGTCTCCCATGTCTCCTTTCTCATGATTCATGTTTGCACAACTGCCAGTGCTCACTCATGCTGTGGGGCAGTGCCAGGAGCACAGATCAGTGCCTGCAGGGGGAATGAAGAGACTTGAGACTGCCCTCCCTGTGCTGGCACATCCTGTTGCCCAGCCCCGGGTGCCAGGGGCCACCAGTTCCAGGGCTGAGAAGGGAGGGAGCAGGTAGAGCGAGCAAGGTGTGAGAGTGGGGCCAGGGGTCTGCAGAAGCCCTGGGTTGCCAGTGTCTGTGGGGCCATAGCCCAGGGGCCACATCCAGCTGGAGGAGGGCCAGGGTAGGAGCTGGCTGTGGTGATCCCTGCTGTACCAGGAAACATCCAGTGCATCAGACACGTCTTGCAGATCAGCAGGCTCTGACTCTTTCTGGGGGATGCAGCAGGGCTGTGCGAAATTTCACCGCTAGTTTTGTTTCAACTCTGTTTTGACCTGTTTCGGGGTCAAAACAGCAAAATCAAAATGAAACAGATATGGTCGAAACAGCATTGAAAAAAAACGAGGCAAGACCAAACGTTTCGCCATTCAACGCTGTTTCAATGTTTCACCCATAGGCTATAATGGGGACAGTTGAAACAGCCTATAACTTTGTCATTTCTAGCCAGATTTGGACAAAACTTGCAGGAATGGTATCCCCTTCTGAGGGCATAAAGCGTACCAAGCTTCAAGAAGATAGGCTGAGGGGGTTCAGAGAAACTGCACCCCAAATTATTGAGAGCCAAACTTGTGTCATGTGTATGAGTTAATCCACAGTAGGGTCAAAACTGCAGGCTTGCTAGGCCCTGCTGAGGCCACAAAGCCTGCCAAGTTTCAAGGAGATAAGAGCAGCGGTTTGGGGGAAACTTCTCCTCAAGCTGCAAATAAGCAAAACTCATGCCATGGGTGACACTGTGCGGGTTAAGGCGCAGCGGGGTGACAGCTGCAGGGATGGTGGCCCCTGCTGAGGCCATGAAGCCTGCCAGCTGTGGAGGAGATCGGTGCAGGGGTTCTGGGGCCCCGCACCCCTAGCTGCTGACAGGCAAAACTCGTGTCATGGGTGCTTGTGCACTGAAGATCCCCCATCACTTGTCACCGAGACCTGAGGGTAATAATTGACCACAGTATGAGCATGAGCCGGCAGTGCAATGCTGTAGCCAGCAGGGCCAACAATACGCTGGCATGTATCAATTGATGCATCTCCAGCAAAACCATTGCAAAGAAGTGATTCTCCTGCTCTTACTCGGCTCTACTCAGCACTGGTGAGACCGCAGCTGGAGTACTGCGTCCAGTTCTGGGCTCCGCACCTTAACAAGGATGTGGTAAAGCTTGAGAGTCCAGAGAAGCGCTACCCACATGATCGGAGACTTGCACAGCAAGCCATATGGGGAAAGGCTGAGGGACCTGGGACTCCTCTGAGGGCATGAGGGGCTACTATTCCTACACGTTTTATCCAAATCTGGCCAGAAATGGCAAAGTTATAGCCTTTTTTGTCCTTCTCCATTATATCCTATGGGTGAAATGTCAAAACAGGGTCAAAACAGCAAAACGTTTTGACAGGACGAAATAGAACATCTATTTTGACTTGAAACAAAAGTCAAAATGCAACACTTTCTGTCAAAATGCTGGTCGAAATGGAACACTTCCATTTCGCACTGCCCTAGCGTGCAGGCGGCTGCCCGGGAGATCTTCAAAAGGAGCTGGTCGCACACCTCACTGGGTTATTTGACCCCAGCGGTCTTTCCTGCCCAGAGCAGGGGGGCTGGACCTGATGATCTCATGAGGTCCCTTCCAGCCCTAAACTTCTGTGAATCTGTGTGAATCTGAGACACAGAAGAGAGTGGGAAGGTGTGTGTGCCACACGCTGTGGGTGAGCCCTCAACCCCTGCCAGCTGGTCCCCCAGGCTCCTGTGCAGCTGGATTTCCTGTGCTGGGGCACAAAGTGCACATGTGACTGGTGCCATCAGCAATGGCAAGAGTGGCAGCTACCACTCCCA